CTTTTCCCAAGATGTCTAATAGAATGACCAGGACATAGAGATTAGTTTGCTCAATTTAAACTCTGCTTAGTAGTTTAATAATTTGGCGGAGTAATACTAACCTAGGACAGCTCTCTCAACTTGATAAATAAAAACTAAGCCGATATTCAGTCAAATATTGCTAAGCCTAGTCCATTTAGTCCACCTGATATATTCCCTTGTTTTTAAGCTGATTCCCATACTTAACGTAAACTTCCCTTTCCTTGGAATTGGAGATAACCTACCCAAGGTTTTTTTAATGGTTAATTAATTGGCCAAGACCCCTATTATCTTCAAGATCGTTTATTCATGTGGTGTGGTGGCGGCGATTAAAGCAGAGAAGGTCCTAGAGTTTGCTAGAAGCCTAGTACGACGGCACGTGTTTTGTAGTACCTCAGGTGGTCAAATGTAATATGGACTGAGGGCTGGGAGAGCAGGACTCTGTTGTCTTGGAGTTAAGTTTATTTACGGGCAGGGTAGTGGACAAGAGTTAAAACCACGTCCCGTGTTACACTCACCCATACCTGTACTGTTTCATTATGCTGTTTATGTATATAGTGAGCAAATGCATGTATGTGTCTGGGGAGTTCAGGGGTCTTTTTAAGCATTTAGTTTTGGCAATTTCAAATTAATCAGCTGAAGAAATTTATATACACTTAAAGCAGAGAAGGAAAATGTTCTTCCTAGTTTTATGATTGAAACTGGAGTCTGAGATTAGCATGTTAGCTAATATTCATCCATAATCAAATTTACTCTGATTTGCAGGAAACAAGATGTCTGGACACACTGATCTTCAAGTCGTGATTTCTGGATCCCAGTCGAAACAAAACTCAATTAGGTCTGGAGACCTATTGAAAGAACTTATATGCTGGGTGTCATGGTCGAAGGCTGGGCTAAAAGGGTTACTGAAATGGCTCCCAATTGCTTCGAAGGAGTTTCCAGCTCCTTCGGGGGAGATTATGGCCAGCCATGGAGAGTGGGTGCGGCGCCTTGGATACATGGAGACAATCATGGCTGTTGGTGGTTACTATGGCACCCTCAACACTGTACAGAGTCTGTGGCTCTCCTCCACACAGCCCATCCTTCCTGAAGAAGTCAAGCAGGCACTCGCCATCGTTGCTCAGTAAGTACTTTAATATATCAACTTAATTTAGTATAGAATTAATGAATAAACACCCTGTGAATAGCCTATCTGAAAATGAAGAACCGACGAAGTTTTGATCCGTAATGGACCATTATTAAGTCGTGTTTTTACATGTTTGTTATAACTGCTGTCTTTACCCACAGACAAACACATGTGCTGCAGCTGTGTGTGGAGTGGCGGGGACTGTGGCCATGGTTCCGCCGGATGAAGACTCTTCTAGTCCCCTTCAAAGTGGACCATGACGACACCATGTCTGTGTATTACAAGATGCAGCAGATGTCATACGATATGTCCCGTGGACCACTCTGGAAGGCGCGGCTGGTTCCCCTTCCATCACGATCTCCTGGTCGCTATGAAGCCGTCCTAATGATCGCTGCTCATCACTGCATCACAGATGGTTTCACCAACGCCCAGTTGTGCAGGGAGACGCTGCAGGTGCTCAACGCTATCATGAGCGGCCGTCAGTACAGTGTTACCCCGCGACTGGTCATACCAAACTTTGCCGAGGACTGTTTTTCACTTATAAAAGACTTTTTCTACTGTTTCAAGTACATATGCCACGTAGTTACCGACTGCTTAATAAGAAACTATAATAGAAAATTATACTTTAATGGCGCTCTTCAGCAGCCGGCGACAAGGCTGGCAATAACAAAAGTTCTGCACAAGGAGTATACTGTTGAGACATCACGGAAGCTCTTGCTACGGTGTAAAGAAGCCGGAGTTACGGTCCACTCGTGTGTCGTAGCGGCGGCAAATTTGGCCATGTTAAGTGTGGCACAGAAATACTCGTCGAGGGATCTAGATGCAGCGCTTATCAAAGTAATGAACTGTGTCAACATGCGTCGTTACTATCCTCAAGAGTACAAGGAGTCTCCTGGCTGCCACATCTCTCTGGAAGAACAGGAACGCCTCATCCGCAGTAGCGACGCTAGCAGTAAGGAAAACTTCTGGTGTTTGTCGAAAATCATAAACGATGACCTGAAGAGAAGCCTCATTGTGGACAAAATCCCTATAAGAAACTCTCCACTCTCTTTGCCCTTCTCACTTTTTATACTCATCAACCACCAGTTGACTCGTATCGGACACAAGCATCGTACCAATTGCCACGTCGTTACCACAAACATGGGAGACCTCCGAGACCTGCTGCCAGGTAAATATGATGGACCTGTGGAGATCACCAACGTCTTGAGGTCCGTCTCTAGCGAGATAACTGCTCATCCCTTTACTCTGACCTTCCACACCTTCCAGGAGCGCTTTATGATATCCCTGGACTACTACACAACCAAAATGACAGATGAAGTGGCCGAGCTGTTCTTCTTCACACTCACCTACTACATCACCAACATTGCCCACCTCGGCATCGTCTTGGTAAACCCTGAAGCCTAATATTGTGATAAACTGCAATTTGAGTTTTCTAACTAACTCAAGAACTCGTTTTATAGTTGCCTAATAAGATTGAACATGAACTATGTATACCGGCAACTGACCTGATGATGGTATGATAGCATAAAGTTCTCCACACGGAGGAAACATAAACTGAATTGAGGAAAAATCACTGGGCCAAAAATCAATAGTGCGTCGCTACTATCCTCAAGAGTACACAGATTCTTCTGTCTCTTAAAAGATGACACTGGCATCGCTACGTAACATCCTGATTTGTGATATAAGGAATTTTATGATTTAAAATGATTCAAACAGGTTTATATATAAGTATTATATCATTTGATTATAATTTACTGATTTGTTTAATATGAATACTATTAATATTTGCCAGTCCTGTCCTCTGGGCTTTTTTGGTACCATGTAACACCAGTTTATAATGTTTAAGAAAATACAATAACTATGTTCAAAATGTTATCACCAATATATTTCTGAATAAATTTATAATATTTTTTTCGTTTTTATCTAACCGATTTTTTATAATATATTATGGCATTGACAGCAGCTTTTCTTTATCGTGGCATTATTGACAGCAGTAAACTCTTGATAAAAATGTAATAATCATAACTAGAAATTAAAGATTATTATTTGTGATAAATTTGAGGTTCTGTTTTCGCCTTTCCCAATTCCAGATTATTGATCTAGGGTTGATAATGAATCCACTAATGGGTTGATCCCATTCTACAGCCTCGCTATTTTCTCATGACTATTTTCTACTATACTCACAAGGCAAACATAATTAATCCAACTTCAACATTCAGTAGTGAATGAATGAGTGGATATAATTTTTTTGTGACATCCATATTTATTCAGCTTTGATCTGAAATATACATATATATATTCCTTGTGTATATATGTATACACAAATATACATATATATATACCTATATATGTAACTGAAAACCTATATATGTGTGTATATCACGAAAATAAACACGTGATTAAAAATGTGACAATGTCAGACCACGGAGGAAAATGAAACAGGAATTTCCTTAAGTACTTTCGTATATTAATACATCTTCAGAAGGAGTGAAGATGTACTCCTGAAGATGTATTAATATACGAAAGTACTTAAGGAAATTCCTGTTTCATTTTCCTCCGTGGTCTGACATTGTCATACCTATATATACACTGATGGTTACTTATGGTCGAGTGGTTAAAGTATCATGTACATCAGTTGCATTGTACTCCTGGCGGTCTGGGTTCGAGTCACTTTGGGGTGTAGGTTTTCAGTTGCTAACCAACATGACTAATACTCAAGGAAATCACAATGGCGTGATGTCAATGATAAAATCGCTCTTTTATGAATAAAATATTAATTTTATTCATAAAAGATACATAACATATTTTAGTGATTTATTTGTAAGTACAAATAAATATTAAACAACTAATGTGCAATTTCGAAAGAAATATTTGTAAATAGCGAAAATCTAAATTTGCCTGTTTAGCAAATCGGACCTCGCTTACTAGGCTATGTAGCGCGGTTTGGGTTATTATGTACGACATACATGAGTGTAAGAGCTTGATACTCACAGTAAATTATGATTTTAGCGTAGCGTCATTTTTTCCTGGTTTCGTGGAACTGGATTCCAGGTGTAGCCTACTGTACTTGTTAACATATGCATCAAGACTAAAATTGATTCATTTGCAGACAACTGTTAAGATACCTGAACACGACCTGTCCTCAGGTTAGTCTCGAACAAAACAGCGGCCGAACCCTGAATACACATTCATCAATTTTAACATACGGAGTACTATAAATATGTTTGTTCTCGTATATAAGTTAGCATTATTATAGATTAAAGTTCTATGTATAGGTAGACGTAGGTTAGATTTGGTCTTTAGTTTTTGTTGGCGGTTATTTGTATTTAAAGTACGTGGGTGAAGCATGTACAGAGTTGCGATTCGAACAGAGATTGTCTGCAAAGTACTGTTCGAGAAATGTTCGAACGTCATTAGTTGTGAATCGTATAAACAGTTTTCCATTTATAATCAGCGAATTTGGCGGCTGGATTAACGAGCATTTGGGCTTTGTTAGTGAGGATCGTTGAATCCAACCGTCAAGTCCTGTGTTTATGAATGAAAACTATATTACACGCGATTCACAACCGATGACGTTCAAACATTTCTCAAACATTGTTTCGCTGAATCAAAGTTCGAATCGCAACTCTGTAAATGCTTCACCCACGTAATTTAAATACAAATAACCATCTATCAGAACGTAAAAACACCTAAGTTTACATAGAATTTTAGTATATAATAATATTATTCATTTATATACGAGAACACGTATTTATAATGGACAATATATATAAAAATTGATGAATGCATCGCGGGCGAATGGTCGCTGCTTTAAGAAGCCTGGTCTGAGGACAGGTTGTTAATGGGTTACTGAAATGGTTGAGAATTGTTTCAAAGAGATCAGAAACAGAGTTGATGAAGCCTGGAGTGGATGTAAACAGATGCGTTCCCTCATCGGAGGAGTCTGTACCTGCCTGGAGGGAGATCATGGAGCGTCCCGGAGAGTGGGTGCGGCGTCTTGGGTACTTGGAGATGTTCATGGCTGTAGGGGGTTACTATGGCACCCTCAACACTGTACAGGGTCTGTGGCTCTCCTCCACACGACCCCTCCTTCCTGAAGAGGTCAGACAGGCACTCACCATCGTAGCCCGGTAAGTACCATAAACTAACGAAGGTTAGTTTAAGCTTTTAGATTCTGTTGGCAGTTATTTGTATTTATAAAAGTGCGAATATGAGCGAAGCACTACTCGAGAAATGCTTGAACTATATCAGTTGTGATTCCTGTAGCCGATTCCAGTGTAGAGTACTTGTTACTTCACAAAAGAAGGGGGGGGGTATTACCATCCAGCTGGTAATTTGTATATAATTACCAGCTGGATGGTAATTATATACATGGATAGATGACTGGTAAACTATTGTGATGACATTTTAATAAGAATCGGACGTTGGTATATGCTAAGATTTTACTTTCGTTTTGAACAAAATGCATTTATAGATGCTTATAGATTATTGAGTCGTACGTGATACGATTTGATACTGGTCCAGGACGGACCAGTATCTCCATTCATTCATTCTGATGAATGGTTTAGTTATCATATCTTCAGCTACGTTATTGTGACTTATGGTCTGCATGTACCTGTCGTCTTCTTTCCGCAGACAAACAGCTGTGCTGCAGCTGTGTGTGGAGTGGCGGGGACTGTGGCCATGGTTCCGTCGGATGAAGGCTCTTCTAGTCCCCTTCAAAGTGGACCATGACAACACCATGTCTGTGTATTACAAGATGCAGCAGATGTCATACGATATGTCCCGTGGACCACTCTGGAAGGCGCGGCTAGTGCCCCTCCCTCCACGGTCTCCTGGTTGCTACGAAGCCGTCCTGGTGATCGCTGCTCATCACTGCATCACGGACGGTGTCACCAACATGGTCTTGTGCCGGGAGACCCTGGAGGTGCTCAACGCCATCATGAGCTGCCGTCAGCACAAAGTGATCCCCCGTCTGGTCATACCAAACATAGCCGAAGAATATGTCTCGTTTAAAGACTGCTTCTACGTGCTCAAGTACTTTTGCTCTCAGTTTTATTGTTGCTTAATAAGAAACTATAATAAAAAATTGTATTTTAATGGCGCTCTTCAGCAGCCGGCGACAAGGCTGGCAATAACAAAAGTTCTGCACAAGGAGTATACTGTTGAGACATCACGGAAGCTCTTGCTACGGTGTAAAGAAGCCGGAGTTACGGTCCACTCGTGTGTCGTAGCCGCGGCAAACTTGGCCATGTTAAGTGTGGCACAGAAATACTCGTCGAGGAAGCTAGATGCAGCGCTTATCAAAGTAATGAACTGTGTCAACATGCGTCGTTACTGTCCTCAAGAGTACAAGGAGTCTCCTGGCTGCCACATCTCTCTGGAAGAACAGGAACGCCTCATCCGCAGTAGCGACGCCAGCAGTAAGGAAGACTTCTGGTGTTTGGCGAAAATCATAAACGATGACCTGAAGAGAAGCCTCATTGTGGACAAAATCCCTATAAAAAACTATCCACTCGCTCTTCCATCTACACTTTCTCTGCATATCAACCACCAGTTGACTCGTCTAGGACGCAAGCATCGTACTAATTGCCACTTCGTCACCACAAACATGGGAGACCTCCGAGACCTGTTGCCAGGTAAATATGATGGACCTGTGGAGATCACCAACCTCTTGAGGTCCGTCTCGAGTGAGCTGACTGGTAACCCCTTCACTGTGGTCTTCCACACCTTCCTGGAGCGCTTTATGATATCCCTGGACTACTACACTACCAAAGTGACGGATGAAGTGGCCGAGCTGTTCTTCTTCACACTCACCAACTACATCACCAACATTGCCCACCACGGCACCGTCTTGGTGAACCCTGAAGCCTAATATTGTGATGAACGAATCCCTGTAAAACTTTTATATGCACAAATACTTGTATTACATTTTACTATGATAAAAAAAATGACCACTGGTGCTATTCAGCAGGCGGCAGCAAGACTGGAAATAACAAAGATTCTGTACAAGTATACTGGAAACATCCGTGGCTGTTCTTCCTTTTGGGTAAAGAAACTAAGAGTTAGAGTCCACTCTTGTGTGGTAGCGGTGGCAAACTTGGCCATGTTAAGTGTGGCACAGAAACACGTTGGGGGAAACTAGATGTAGCTCTTGTCAACTTAATGAACTATGTCAACATGCGTCGTTGCTATCCTCAAGATTACGAGTTTTCTGGCTCCTACCTAAAGATGATACCTACATCGTACTAGGCTTCACTAAGATGAACTCGTGTGTAATATTGTAAACTATGGTTAATTTTAGAAAAAAACAACTTGCAGCTTTATATATCACGATTTATAACAATTCACTCGGATTTATGTAACTTCAAGCATTAGATAATTGTTTATAATTTATATATATTTTCAAATGATTATTAATTTTTAATATTTATTATTGTCTCCTGTTCTCTTGATTTTCTTGGCACAGGTCAAATATAATTGATATATACGGTCAGTGTTGCTGACCATGTACGTCCTGAGCATATATATACTTGCTGTTGTCAGTGTTGAGGAAGGAGGCAAGCAGCCTAGCGTGGCCCTCTATCTCAGAGACACACGAAGTATTGACACATTAATCTTGCTTATTTGTAAGCCTGTTTAGTCATCAGTCTCCTCCACTCCCTCGACACCAATATCTCTCCTGTTCCCTGCCTTCCTGTTTATTATTTGCATTTATGTGCGCAATAGACTCATTGTGTAACATAGTATTTTGTGGAGTAGTTGGCTCTTGACTTTTGGGGACAAATACAATAACTAATTTTATTATGAATGTTATCACGGGTAACTAATATATTTCTAAATAAATCCATTATAAATACGTTTTTGTTTCGTTAACAAGTTTTAAAGTAATGGTTCTATCTTTTGAGTCATCTCTTGTTGTTTTTCGTTCTTGATTAATTATGTCTGTTCGTTTATGTATCGTAGTACTTATCCTTCACTCACAGTCAAGGATCCCAGGTTCGATTCCCGAGCAGGACAAAGATGGTTAAGTACGTTTCCTTTCACCTAATGTCTCTGTTCACCTAGCAGTAAATAGGTACATGGGTGTTAGACAACTGTTGTGGGGGTTGCATCCTGGGGAGGGTCAGAAGTTCCACCCTGCGGGGACCTCGAGTCAAGCCTACTATACCGTATACACACACAGGCTTCTTGTCCCCGACAAAACAAATTATTATTTATCGACGTAATAATTTCGATTAGAAATTAAAGATTATGTCTGGTCAAATTCATTTTCTTTAGGACATAATAGAACATTAAGGAGTCCTTATTTCTTTGTAATAAATTGAAGTTTCTTTAATCTACTCTCATTAGAATCGCCGAAACAAAAGGCCTGTTTGATGATGCGTGGCAGCTGTTATACGCACATAATACCGTATATGTAATTCTAACCTGTACAATCAAGCGATCTCACAAATATTAAGTTACCAACAATTTGTTATATAAATCTACATTCCCAATATCATACCAGGGTTTACCAATATCATACTCTTCTGAATCAAAACTTATCCAATTTGTATTCACTGTTTCTTGTTTTGTGTTGATTTGTTAATGTCCTGGGCAGGAAAAGGCAACTCCAAGTTTTTTCTTTGAAAATATTAAACAAAACTTAGAGAGAAAACTGAGCCGTTGAAAATTGAGGTAACTGATAATGACAAAGAAAATGGGCGATATATAAAGACGCATTTAGTCTATATTTACCAGAGAAGAACTTGATATGATGCCTGCACGCAGCACAAGAAATCCACATAGGTGGGGGGAGAGGATAAGTTGTCTAGTTTAGTAGTTACTGAACAAATCCACAAGGGCCGTGACGAGGGTTCGAACCTACGTCCGGGGATCCTCTCAGACGTAGGATCCATAGGTATACAAGTCACGTGTCAAAGCAGGTTCAATAAAACCAAAAGTTTCAGTTCTCCTTTATTACATGACACTTACACAAGTCTTCCCTAAGAGGGGGGGGGGGTGTCGACTATCCCTTCCCCCATCCCCCCCTAAGACCGCCCTCCCCCTCCTCCCCATCCATCCATCCCTCCCCCTAAGGGGACCAAGGGCTTAGATAAGGGGGGTGGAAGGGGGTTTGGGAGTTACATAAGGGCTGGACATACCACCAACAAAGGGTTAAGGGACCTCAGGCTACCCCAGCGAGGAGTGGTGCCTGTAACATCACACAGAATACCGAGAAATACGGTACATGGACACCTCAAACTACATGAAAATATAATTTGTTTGTATTTGGCTAACACTCTCGGACACAATGAAGGGAAGGTGAACACAATGAAGGGAGGGTGAATGTAATTAAGGGAGAGTGAATGTAATGTCCCTGTTGCGATATTTCCCGCCATTGATGCTATATTATTGACACCAAATATACAGGAGAGTTTGCCGTCTGAGAGAGAGAGAGAGAGAGAGAGAGAGAGAGAGAGAGAGAGAGAGAACCGGGGTTTGAGGTAGCTTATATCTTTAACACCAACTCTCACAATTGCTTCCTTTTTTTCTCATTTACATTTATATTTTTTTTCGTCATTAATTATAATTTTTTGTCGCAATCTCTAAATAAAAATCCTCTTTATGCCTCTATACACCTATAAGAAATCCCGCGCTTTTGCATACGTATCAGAGTGTTGTTTAATATACAATTACTATAGTTAATGACACGTGTTCACACCCCCCTGTTATTATCAGGTGAGAGATAATTACTAAAAATATTTCTCACCGTATTCACGCGCTTCTGTTGTTTATCTTCCTCACTAACGCAGCCTAAACAATCACCACTCTCCATTATTGTATAAGTTACTCATAATTATATGCAACAAAGTACCTAGACTTAAATATAACTACGTCCAATAATACTGAATCGTGAACGTTGATAACGATTTATATTTTGTACGATTTGCTTCTTACAAAACCCATCCCAACCTCTTGGACTGGTCGGTACTGCGACGGCCTGGCCTCTTGCAAGGTCGGTGTTCGAACCCGTATGATTCGAAGCCGACATATATATATATATATATATATATATATATATATATATATATATATATATATATATATATATATATTGGAGGTATATTGTATTATAGTATATTAAGGAGGTATATTGCCTCCTAGGCCTTATGCCTCATATAGCGCATATTAGGCTGTTGAAACATTTGTAAACAGTTGCAGGGATTTTTTTTGCGAGAGGCATTTTAAATAGTACAAATGAATACTGTTATGTGCAACAGTACATATTCTGTACATACGGCACTGAGTCGGTATATATGTACTGTCTTAATGAGGATTGTTTGGGTCATAAGACAGCGATCTTAGCATATCATTATTTGTCTATTTCCACTATACGTCCATCCATCTATTGTATTATACAGTTAATAAAACAATGATAGATGAAATGCAGTTGATAAATGTGACAGAATAAATAGTGCATAAATAAATAAATATTGTAAACACACCACAGGTGCTGTAAACACACCACAGGTGATGTAGACACACCACAGGTGCTGTAGCCACACCACAGGTGATGTAGACACACCACAGGTGCTGTAGCCACACCACAGGTGATGTAGACACACCACAGGTGCTGTAGCCACACCACAGGTGATGTAGACACACCACAGGTGCTGTAGACACACCACAGGTGCTGTAGACACACCACAGGTGATGTAGACACACCACAGGTGCTGTAGACACACCACAGGTGCTGTAGACACACCACAGGTGATGTAGACACACCACAGGTGATGTAGACACACCACAGGTGCTGTAGACACACCACAGGTGCTGTAGACACACCACAGGTGCTGTAGACACACCACAGGTGCTGTAGACACACCACAGGTGATGTAGACACACCACAGGTGATGTAGACACACCACAGGTGATGTAGACACACCACAGGTGCTGTAGACACACCACAGGTGATGTAGACACACCACAGGTGATGTAGACACACGAGCGAGCAGCCGAGGGGTGTGAATACTGTGTCGGTAACTTATAATAGAGTGGGAACCTTTTAGTTCCAAAGGATGGATTCTCCTGATTGTGGTGTATGTACGCTGTTGTCCTCAAGCGCTGCCTTGTGTGGGTAGGTGTGTGTGTGTGTGGGTAGGTGTGTGTGTGTGGGTAGGTGTGTGTGTGTGTGTGTAGGTAGGTGTGTGTGTGCGTGCATGTGTATGCTAAAGAAATTGGGCAGGTTACACGTATTTCTTTTGTTAATATGTACGTTTGTATTTTTATGCATATATATATATATATATATATATATATATATATATATATATATATATATATATATATATATATATATATATATATATATATATATAATATGCATAAATAAGGAATCTCCAAGGATTCCAATGGCACTTTATGCTCTGTTATATCCCTGAGTATCCTTATATTCTTGTTAAACGTCCAAGAATGTCTCATTTATATTCTTGTTCAATGCCCTAGAGGATATCGTCCCGTTTATATTTTGCTAACCATATTCCCTAATTAATTCCTCTCTCAAAGTTCCCTATGCTTGGTGTGGGCACCCGCGTTCACCCAAGACCGCGACAGATAGACGACAGACCGACTGACAGACACAGATGAGGAAGGCATTGGAAGATATGTTGGCACAGTTTGTTTATTGTGGCGCATATTGGCGGGAAAAGCTCAATAGGTTTGTTTATGTGAATCAGCTGACAAGCTCAAGGCGGTCAGCTGATAAACACGAGGTGGTCTGATGTACACAAAGTAGTCAGCTGATGTACACAAGGCTCCAGCTGATGTACACAAGGCAGTCAGCTGATGTACACAGAGTGATCAGCTGATGTACACAAGGCAGTCAGCTGATGTACACAGAGTGATCAGCTGATGAGTATAAGGCGGTCAGCTGATATTCACATGGAGGTTAACTGGTGTTTACCTGTAACCAGGTGACCCGCAGGTGCGACTAGATGGCGTTTGCCTTGTATTAACTCTTAAAAATAAAAGTGTCTGTAGTGACGGCATAGAGAATCACAAAATAATCTGTAGAGAGAAATGTGAATGCTTCAATCCATGTACCAAAGAAAACGTCCTGGCCCGCGTTCCCTCCAACACAAATGCTCTCAGTCTTTGTTAGTCCCCCCTGCTACTTCGAGTGACTTGAATGGTGTTGAAAATTAGTCACGAATTTCTTGTCCACAGCCTAGTACCCTTATCTACCCAATACGAATGCTGCTGTTATTATGCTGGAGATACAAAGTCGGGAGAGATACTCTCTCTCTGCCCAGGACAATATACTGTTGGTAATTTTGGTTGCTCGAGGCTGTATTTAACCATTGGATAATTCTAGGGTAGTTGACTTTGCGGGGTTGACTAAGGCACCAGCATGAGAGGCCAAGCCACCAGTCAGGTAGCCTAGTCCATATCGGGTTGGCTAGGCATGGTGGGTGTCTCCCCGGTCCTCAGTGGGTAGATGAGTCTGACACAGGGGGTCTTGGAACTTGGTCCCAGCGTGATTACATAATCACATAACGTCGAGGGGAATAATTTGTTTCAGGGTCATTACAACCAGAATTAATCTTAACTTAAAAGAACGGCTATTTTATTGATCCTCATAATTAAGTTTCAGCATTATGCTGGAAATGCGGCGGCAAATGCCGCAGTTCCTGCTTCAGCTGTCGGTGGTTCTTGGACATGTCATCTTGGAAGACACAGGGAAAAACGACTAACTGAGAAGCATTTAAGCGTCTTGGAGGGACCGATATCAAACTCCTTTCAAGCAGGAAGGACTGACTTGCACAAGAGCACCCTTACAAAGGTGAGACTAACTCAGACGCTCTCAAGTAAGAGCGTCTCAAACATACGCCTACACGCCCACGGACACTACCGACGGGAGCACCATTCTCACACTGGCTCGTCTGTGCTGCACCAGCAGAGAAGCATTTCACCTGCAGGCCCTGAAGTCTCACGCCTTATGGGGAGTGGTCGAGCCATGGCTACGCCGCTTTGCTGAGTGCCTCGCTAAAACACACACTTAAACACCTAAAATAAATATTCTAATTCATTTATAACTCTACGAACACAAGAACTCGTCTTTTATTTGGAAGCAGTTATCATAAGATCAAGTCCACGAACGCTACGTAAAAAATTCTCAGGACGAACTTACTAGTAATGGAATTTTAGTGTTTGGCACATACACAAGTCCTCTCTAAGGCGAGGCACTCACCGGGGGCACCAGCGTCGGCCTGACCCTTCACTGAGCACCAGGTCTCTGAAGACTAGACGGCTGTCGACGAAGCTGGAGGCCTTCAGCCCCGTCTTCCCCTGGAGGAGCAGCTGGTGGCAGCCGAGTATAGGAATATACCGCCTCTTTGCGTGGACAAGATTTGTTTTTATTGGAAGATCACATTCATTATGGCAAAATATCGCGTAAGATTGTGGAAGATCACATTCACATGCCAAGTACCGTGTTCTACATTACAAAGATAATTAAGTCTTTGGAACAATATAATCAAGAATGAACTATAAGATACTACAGGTTGGTAAAAATACAGAATTCCTTATTTAATAAAATTCTTTGGATCACACATACCTAATGACAAAATAAAGTGTAGGGGATGTCGTCACTGGCTGTACACTTATTTGACGAATGGACCAGACTTTGAGATAGAGATGAGATACACGTTAAAAGGCTTCTCAATCTTTACCTTCAATCGTGTAAAGATTGCTGAATGCTAGCCGCGAGGATGGCCTAAATGTTCCCTCTTATTATGCCATTTAAACATTGACAATGCTTAGTTCTTCGATTAAAGAACACTGAGTATTTTCTTAGACACTCTGTCACTTACCAAAAAATTATATATATACCTTTAAAAGAAAGTTTTGTTGGTCGTTCTACGAAATATAATTAAAATCAATTGTGACCAAATATAAAACATTGTCCTGAACACTCACAAGTGATTCTAATTCCCACGATAACACCGATAAGAACGTCTGAGGGTTAAGGGCCAGCTTGGCGGGACATTGTCCCTCTCGCTGGCCGGCTTGTTGCCAACCCGAGCCTCCATGAACGCCCGCGCAGAACTGCCGTTCACTTCGCTGCTCCATGGCACCAAATTCAGACATTTGCTGCCTGGAAAAAACATAGGCACTATCGAAACTGATTATGCCATTGCACGAAGTAGATATGAATAATGTACACTTTTCAGAATTTGGTGCCAGTGGACCATCAAAGTTCTTGATCATTCGGGGTTCTGACTGATCGTTTAGACTTTAGCCGCAAAGTGAAGTACTCCATAGGTGTAACTAGAGGACCTCAAGTGCAGCATTTTCCTCGGTTGGCTCCTGAAGGGTTTCTGAAGGTCCAGCCATTCTGCATGAAATCCTTTTATATAATATCTCTGAGGGGTCCTGGGGAGGAGTGGCTTCTATCACCCTGTAGGGAGAGGCCACCATGAGCACCTCGAGACTCGTCCACCGAAGAAGGTACTCTGCACACGAAGCTCTGGCCTCTGCTCTGCGCACGAAGCTCTGGCCTCTGCTCTGCTCAGCCCCTCCGTTTAAGGCTGTGGTTTCCAGTCCAGGGAAGTTTCGATATAGTGTGCATCCTGGATCCTGACCTTGACGAGGTCCAAACTTCAAGTTCCAAGCAAAGACTAAACCTCGTTCAGGATCACAGTTCAAGGCCTATACTTCAACTCCGTAGGCAATGCAGTCCAAAGTGTAATTGGAAGTCTAGACCACAGTTTCAGGTAAGAAACTGCTCCAGACAAAGCTCAGACTGCAGGCCAGGTTTAGACCAAAGCCCAGACATCAGACTTTGCTTGCTCTTGTTGAAGACGTGCAGGGAGCGGTCCTTGGCTCTTGTGGTAGGCGCATGCACCGTTGCATTCTTCTTCCCACCACCACCATTAATGAAGTCAAAAATTCAAATATTCTCTATATTATGCTGCATCAATAGTCTAATTGTAATAATATTGGAAGAAGCTAACTATTTAGACTATGACACAGGCCGGGCATCAAAGTTTTGAGTCCTCTTTTTCCTGCGGAAGAAAAATATGAGAAGTTCGTTAGGAGGTGAACCTTGACAAGATCAACAAATATGTTGTTGACGATTGCAACCTCAAAACAACAACAACAACAACATCTACTACTTCTACAACTACTACTACTATTACAAACCAACAAACAAAGTTTACAAACCAACAAACCAACAAACAAAGCTTACAAAGTTTACAAACCAACAAACAAAGTTTACAAAACAACAAACAAAAATTTACAAACCAACAAACAAAGCTTACAAACCAACAAACAAAGTTTACAAACCAACAAACCAAAATTTACAAACCAACAAACAAAAATTTACAAACCAACAAACAAAAATTTACAAACCAACAAACAAAAATTTACAAACCAACAAACAAAAATTTACAAACCAACAAACAAAAATTTACAAACCAACAAACAAAAATTTACAAACCAACAAACAAAGCTTACAAACCAACAAACAAAGTTTACAAACCAACAAACCAAAATTTACAAACCAACAAACAAAAATTTACAAACCAACAAACAAAAATTTACAAACCAACAAACAAAAATTTACAAACCAACAAACAAAAATTTACAAACCAACAAACAAAAATTTACAAACCAACAAACAAAAATTTACAAACCAACAAACAAAAATTTACAAACCAACAAACAAAAATTTACAAACCAACAAACAAAAATTTACAAACCAACAAACAAAGCTTACAAAACAGCGTTCATTGAAATGAAAACCTGATAGGAAAACTTAAAGTGGGGAAAAAAAGTAAAACTGCCCACAAAACAACTGATAATGCAGAAAAAATGATAATGACAATGATAAAAAAAACCAGCAAGTACCCAAGTCCCAAAATAACAAATAACTCACAAAATATAAAACATACAACTCACAAAATATAAAATAAACCACGCAAATAAAAAAAAAACACTGCACAAACACAACTCCAACCAACAAATTCCTCACAATCAAACCAAAACAACTCATAAAACAGCAAATACACAACTCATACAACACACAACAGCAGCAAAATACTCACAAAACTGAAGCTGCGGGAGGAGGAGATGGAGGCTGGGGTCTTTTCCTCCTCTATGGGTTCCATGGGTTCGTCGCCGTTAATGGGGAGAACCATGGGCTGGCCGGAGAAGCCCATGGGTGACACATCCGATGGGCCGGATGCCGCCCCCTCCTCCTCCTCCGAGGCAGAGTTGCCCATTTCCTCCTCCTCCGCCAAGCGTTGCTCCTCCTTGGGAGAGGAAAAAGGGATGGCAGATGGTTTTTAAGACTTACCTAAAACAATATGCGTGTTATGGTGGCTTTAAATATGTACTTTCACAACCTATTTTGCCGGCAACACAAATTTATATTAGTTATCCTAAACAATTGTCGATTTAGCTTTCTCTAGCCACAGAAAATGATACACGGAAGGATAAACAAATAAAATTGGTTATGTTAGATTTTTTTCCTAGTTAAAAATATTGTTTTCCCATTGTCGGGGGATAGGAAACGTGATGATTTTGTCAAGGTCATCCTAAGTAGTGATGAAAATAGGAGGTAAGGGGGGACGGGGGTGTACGGCATATACCTACTCAATTTCCATTTATTTATTATTAATTTCTGTACCAATGGAGACATTTATTTGTTATCCTTTATCAAAAGTCTGCTAATTAAAATTACTTGCTTTCAGATACAGTGTTGATCTTTGGAGATTCATGTTTGCTCCATGGAAGCGTTCTATTAGCGATGACCAGACATATAATAGAATACCTCGGCCAGATCAGAATGCAAGCCTAGGGCCCGTGGTTAACTTAGTTTGCTCCAGCATCCCCATTTCCATCACTGCCGCTGCTAAGGTCAATTACAAGCCTCCTCCAGAGTGACAAAAATAATTCCAGGACTCAGTCACCTCTATTACCAGGAAAGGTTGAGGGCCGCAGGACTAACAGCACTACTAACCAGGCATGAGAGGGTTGATCACATCGAGATTTTTAAAGTATTGAACAAGTTCGAGGATATTAATCCAGTTTACTTTCGTAAAAGGTCCATTGTAGCGCACAAAAAGGAGAGAAACTTCAAATTCAACAAGCCACGATGTAGAGCAAAAAACAGGAGAGGCTTTTTTTATCAATAATCCCTTTGAATCGCCTACCCACTCAAGCCGTAAACGCCAAAACTTCAGTTTAAAATCCAGCTAAAACAAATCCCCAAGAACAGTGAGAGAATTTTTAACAAGACGTCGGCTTCCTGTCCCCGTCGAGGCCATTAAAGTTGGTAGCCCTCTGGTAAATTCAGATACAAAAGCTACCAGGTACCTATTTACCGCTAGGTGAATAGCGGCATCAGGTGTTAGGTTGTGCATGCAGGTATAACTCTCCACCACTGCTCACAGGTTGGGGTATGGGGTCCACTGTCACTCGCAGGATAAGAATCAAGGAGGTGCAAGATAAATGAATTAATATAAAGAAAATCTTGCCTTAGTCGGGGATTTAACTCGGATGCATTGGAATGTGAACTGACTATAATCCCTCATTAAAAGTGAAATTCATTACACAATGTTGTTAAAAGTTAAATTCTTTGTAAAACAGCCTTGTACATATATTATTCATTAACATTAAGACGGTATACACAGCAATGTGGTGCTATACTATTTTGACAGTCAAAACAAGATCTAACGACGCGGTGCACAACGGCGCGTGTGCCACATCTCATGTCAACACTTTACCGATTGCTGTCAAAGAGCACTTAATGCGTAAACTCTTAACTTATCAGAAGAATAACGAGACGTTAATCTTTCACCTCGCGTGAATCGAATAATCATTATCATTTATTATACAGTTATTATTGACAACTTAGACCGGCATTAGAATTAGCACCACAGGCGCGGAACTGGCCCCTTCCCGCCCTTCCTCTGGGCGGGAAGGGGCCAGTTCTGTTCTTGTAGTTGGTGAGGGAAGTTGTGCTACCGGCCGCTGACTCCACCAACGATTTAATCTACCCAATAACTTTCAATTGCGAAGTGTTTACAAACTTATTCATAACCAGTAAATTAAATTACTCAAAAGTGAGGAGAAAAGAAACGCTGCAGCCGACCATATTGAACTTTATCATTGACTAAAGATGACACGAATTCTTGTTAAACATTCTCAGTGTTCCCATACGACCTTTATTTTGGACTTATGGGATATTAACATTAAATTAAAGACATGTATGATCTTTGATGTCATACACGAGCACTTGAGCCAACACCACCACCGCATAACGCGTCCACTAGACGAACTCTACACGGTAAGGTAAGTCCTGTTTTACCTTTCAGTTTAACGTTACATTTCAAGCATTGTTTTACACTTAGACCAACACTACCAACTGGCCAGAGAGGAATATGACGTATTGAGGCGTCTTTTGTTACGCCGAGGAGGCGTGGAAGGTCGGTAACTAGATAATTAGGCTATTCAGGAATTGTGTGACCTATATTGAGGGTCAATATATTGCCTGTGTAATGATTCACGGAGACGTAATGCACCAAGTATGGTATACTGTAGTATATTTGTACTGTGTACACTTGTTTGTGAGCTCCTTGAGGGACTTTTAATAGAAGAGGGTAGAAAATTTGCAGTCCCCGTGGCGTAGTGGTAAGACACTCGCCTGGCGCTTTACGAGCACTTTGGTCTGGGTTCGTATCCTGGCCGGGGAGGATTGACTTGCCGCCAATCCCTAACTGTAGCCTCTGTTCACCCAGGAGTGAATGGGTACCTGGTTGTTGAACGATTTGGCGGGTCGTATTCCAGGGAAAATTAGGATTAAGGATTTGCCCGAAACGCTATGCGTGCTAGTGGCTTTACAACCATGTAGCAACTCTTGTATATGTACATACATATAATAGCCGTAGTGTTTCGTTTTTATATGTATTTTATTCTATAAACTTGAATCAAGGAACAACAGATTTTGTTGTAATTGCTTGTATGTGACCTAATAAAATAAACGCTACGCGTACTAGTGGCTGTACAAGAATGTAAGAACTCTTGTATATATCAATAAAAAAAACTACTGTATCACGTCACTGTCACGTAACTACCTAGGACGCTCTGCTATGAGAGAAACTTCTACAACCCGGACCAACCAGGTTGTTGTTATGTGGGCCTGCGGGCCGCTCCCAGCAACAACAGTCTGTTGGGCCAAGCTTTCCCAGGTCAAACCTGGCCCCAGGCCGGACTTGGAGAATAGAAAAACTCCCAGAAACCCGTCCAGGTAAGATAAAGGTAAGAAATCACATTTAATATCTCTTATTTTCATATATTAATGTTCACATATTGTACATGCGTATTCATATTCTTGTTGACGTATGATGTTACATCATCATATTATTGTTGATGATGTAATACAATGAAATCAGACTGTTTACTGGCATTAGCGGCTGTATAGCCACGGATCCGAATTCAATGAAATGGACACATAAGCGTTCAATACATAATATCAAGTCAATGGTGGTTTAATTTAATACATAGCATATAGTAGTCAGGAAGTGTTGGTGTGGAGTGTATCTTAAAAATTAAATTAATAAAACGACTCGTAAAATTTCACGCATTTCAAAAAACTTAACAGCTATCAACGAGTTTAATCATACAATTAATATTATGTTTCCTGAAACTAGCCTTTCTCTAAAATATACGTGTGGAAATGTGAAATCACGGGGGAGGGGGGGGGGGTAGAAATAGCCTAGCTGCTCTATCCCTTTGAGATGTATTTTTTCTTGTCTCAATAAACATACTTGAATTTGAATTTGAACAACTTAATTGTCTACTCTCGAGGAGTTTCTGGTAACAAATCTGGTAAATTTTATTTTCTTATTTCAACAATTTTAAAATTTAAATTTTGTTGAAATCCACTCTTTTGAGTTTATGAAGAAAATATATTTAAGTGAAAAACCATTACAACTAGTACGTTGATTATATATTTGTATATTCGTTAAATATTAATTGATCTTTAAATCTTTTTTTATTGAAAAAAAAGAGTTCGTTTTTTTTAACACTAGAATATATGCTCATTATGAATGACAATTATTTGTTATTTCTTGGCTTCATCTGGAAGCCAAATTGCGAGTATATAATTAATAGGCTTCCTGTTGGGTTATGGGGCTGAGGCTGACTGTATTTAACATTAAAACTGAAGAACGTAATGTCAAGCTGAAGAGGGGATTGTAAATGTGGGCCCATTTATAGAACGTACTTTGATATAGGATACAAAAAATATAGGATATATTGATATATGACTGCATTATCAAGGTTTGAGTATATGGTTTGGAGGAGACTTAAAGGCAGCTCAGACGTTGAGATGTAAGTCTTGACCGAATCATGTACTCAGTCAGACCTTGATATGCACTCAGGAGAATGCGAAAGACTTGGTGTAGTTCAAATCTTTACATACTATACATAAATACATAAGTGTGGGTTTCTTATCCTACTATTATGTCTGCGATAAGACGTTACCATTAGTTACGTACCTTGATCTTGTTGACCCAAAACTGGTGGTTCTCCTGAAGGTGTTGAGTCTGGAGGCAGAAGATCTTGCGCGTGCGGCCGCTGGTGTGCGTGGCGGTGTCAGACTCGCTGGTGGCCGGGTCCTCCTCGTCCTCTTCCTCCTCCTCCACGTCCTCATTGTTGATCTCGAGGTTGAGTTCATGGCCGACCTCGTCGTCCTCGCCCGGTTCCAGCCACACCCCGGGCATGAGGCCAGCCTCGCCGTAGGCGTTGCAGAGGGGCGCCACCAGGTGATTGATGAAGGACTCCTGCAGCTTGGAGAGCTGCGGGTTGGACCGGTCCATGTATGGTGACACGGGCAGCCCCAGCGCCGCCTCCTCGTCCCCTGAAGTTATGTTTGAGTTTAGACCACCTTACCTTGTGGTGTTTTCGGGGCTTAGGGTCCCCGCGGCCCGGTCGTCGACCGGGCCTCCTCTGGCAATATTTATGGCAGTGGCAACATTTCATATACACACTAGGGGGACATGACAATCTGGAGTTTTCATATATGAAATGATGTCCTTGTCTGCAAGTGCTGAAATTACGGGAAATCTTTAAAAAAAACGAGTGGCCAATTTTAGCAGGATCAAGCGGACACTGGTCGTGATTCCTAAATGATTTATTTTTGTTATTAAAATACACCTAACCTTATCAAGTCTAACTTAACGTTATTTTACAGTTTAGCAATTAGAATCCTCCTCTTGGGATTGCCATCTCTTGGGTGGCTTAATCTTTATCAATCATCAATTTGTTTATCACGATCCAATTATGTGCGAAACGCCTGGGTACGATTTGACCATACCCCTGTCAGGCCTACTTGCCCCCTTTCCCCTACATCCCTCTTAATCTCCTGGTTAAGCCAATATACCTTGTTCGTAGAACTCCTCAGCGATTCTTGATGTCCACTGCGTGTGTATGTCAATGGCCTTACACGGCCCATTGATATCAGCCAGCTTGATACACATCTCTAGAGCCAGCATCCGGTCTGTCTCAGAGTTCCAGTCCAGGCCGGGCGCATCCGGCTCGTTCGCCTGGAGGATAACATACATAGCATAAGTATGGAGAGAAAGCGCTAAGTACACGGAACGGCTATGAGGACGAAGGGAAGGAACGGTGCTCGACTTCTTGAATCGTCGGGGATCGAACACCGACCTGCAAGAAGCGAGGTCGTCGCTCTATCAACCAATCCAAGGAAAAAGATGGTGGTGGAAGGTGATTTGAGAACAAGGGAAGAAGCTCATTACACATTTGTTGGTCAATTCATCAATTTAAAATTTTAGTTATTCAAGTGTTGGGACTTGACTGGGGACCCCACCAGTATACAGGCCAATACAATGCTATAAACCCTTGGAGTTTAAGGAATACAATCAACAATGCTCTTCGAGTACATTGATCATTTGACCCATTACCTAAGTGTAACATTCCTCCCGCGTCATTAACTCTTGACCTCCATCTAATCATTAATCCTAGACACGGAATATGGTGCCCCATGGCGCTCTTACCTTGGCATTAAACTCAGCCAGGATCTCGAAGTGCCTCTTGAGGTCGGTGGCGAGGATGGCCTCAATGACGAGAAACCTGAACCTCTTGAACTCAGCCCTGTCGAGGTGCGTCAGGAAATTGTACTCGGGCTTGGAGAGGAAGAGCGACCAGGCGGCCGCCGCGTGGTGGTTCTCCAACACGCTCCGGTCATTGTACAGCACCGCCTGAAGCACGGGTGATAAGTTGTTGGTGTGGGGGGTGGTGGGCAGGTGCTGTATTGTAGGGGTGGCCAAGGGTGTTGAGGAAGAGTCACCAAGGTGATGGTGTGGGGGAGTGACCGGGTGATGGTGTGGGGGGGAGTGACCAGGTGATGGTGTGGGGGGGGAGTGACCAGGTGATGGTGTGGGGGGGAGTGACCGGGTGATGGTGTGGGGGAGTGACCGGGTGATGGTGTGGGGGGGGAGTGACCGGGTGATGGTGTGGGGGTGTGACCGGGTGATGGTGTGTGGGGGGGAGTGACCAGGTGATGGTGTGGGGGGGGGAGTGACCAGGTGATGGTGTGGGGGGGGGAGTGACCAGGTGATGGTGTGGGGGGGAGTGACCGGGTGATGGTGTGGGGGAGTGACCGGGTGATGGTGTGGGGGGGGAGTGACCAGGTGATGGTGTGGGGGGGAGTGACCGGGTGATGGTGTGGGGGAGTGACCGGGTGATGGTGTGGGGGGGGAGTGACCGGGTGATGGTGTGGGGGTGTGACCGGGTGATGGTGTGTGGGGGGGAGTGACCAGGTGATGGTGTGGGGGGGGGAGTGACCAGGTGATGGTGTGGGGGGGAGTGACCGGGTGATGGTGTGGGGGGGAGTGACCGGGTGATGGTGTGGGGGGGAGTGACCGGGTGATGGTGTGGGGGGAGTGACCGGGTGATGGTGTGGGGGGGAGTGACCGGGTGATGGTGTGGGGGGGAGTGACCGGGTGATGGTGTGGGGGGGAGTGACCGGGTGATGGTGTGGGGGGGAGTGACCGGGTGATGGTGTGGGGGGGAGTGACCAGGTGATGGTGTGGGGGGGAGTGACCGGGTGATGGTGTGGGGGGGAGTGACCAGGTGATGGTGTGGGGGGGAGTGACCGGGTGATGGTGTGGGGGGGAGTGACCGGGTGATGGTGTGGGGGGGAGTGACCGGGTGATGGTGTGGGGGGGAGTGACCGGGTGATGGTGTGGGGGGGAGTGACCAGGTGATGGTGTGGGGGGGAGTGACCGGGTGATGGTGTGGGGGGGAGTGACCGGGTGATGGTGTGGGGGGGAGTGACCGGGTGATGGTGTGGGGGGGAGTGACCGGGTGATGGTGTGGGGGGGAGTGACCGGGTGATGGTGTGGGGGGGAGTGACCGGGTGATGGTGTGGGGGGGAGTGACCGGGTGATGGTGTGGGGGGGAGTGACCGGGTGATGGTGTGGGGGGGAGTGACCGGGTGATGGTGTGGGGGGGAGTGACCGGGTGATGGTGTGGGGGGGAGTGACCGGGTGATGGTGTGGGGGGGAGTGACCGGGTGATGGTGTGGGGGGGAGTGACCGGGTGATGGTGTGGGGGGGGGAGTGACCGGGTGATGGTGTGGGGGGGAGTGACCGGGTGATGGTGTGGGGGGGAGTGACCAGGTAATGGTGTGGGGGGGGAGTGACCGGGTGATGGTGTGGGGGGAGTGACCGGGTGATGGTGTGGGGGGAGTGACCGGGTGATGGTGTGGGGGGGAGTGACCGGGTGATGGTGTGGGGGGGAGTGACCGGGTGATGGTGTGGGGGGGAGTGACCGGGTGATGGTGTGGGGGGGAGTGACCGGGTGATGGTGTGGGGGGGAGTGACCGGGTGATGGTGTGGGGGGGAGTGACCAGGTGATGGTGTGGGGAGGAGTGACCAGGTAATGGTGTGGGGAAGTGACCAGGTGATGGTGTGGGGGGGAGTGACCGGGTGATGGTGTGGGGGGGAGTGACCGGGTGATGGTGTGGGGGGGAGTGACCGGGTGATGGTGTGGGGGGGGAGTGACCAAATGGTTTAATCAGAGGCGAAAAAACCACTTTAATAGAAAACATTTCCAAGGTGAAATGCACAAGACTGTTACACGAAATACAAAAGAGTTCACTTATACCTTGTTGAACTTTTGCAGATAACAAGTTCTTACGAACTTGCTTGAGTCCTATAGTCCTAACTGCACAACCAACATCCTCTCCTAAACGTGTAATTAATGCACCTGTAAACGACCCACCATCAGGAGAGACAGTCCTGTGGAATGTTCGTGCCGCCATCAGGAGGGTCCTGTGGAGCATTTTACTACCGTCAGGAAAGACAGTCCTGTGGAACGTTATTACCACCAGCAGGAGGGTCCTGTGGAGCATTTTACTACCGCCAGGAAAGACAGTCCTGTGGAACGTTATTACCACCAGCAGGAGGGTCCTGTGGAGCGTTAGTACCACCAGCAGGAGGGTCCTGTGGAGCGTTAGTACCACCAGCAGGAGGATCCTGTGGAGCGTTAGTACCACCAGCAGGAGGGTCCTGTGGAGCGTTAATACCACCAGCAGGAGGGTCCTGTGGAGCGTTAGTACCACCAGCAGGAGGGTCCTGTGGAGCGTTATTACCACCAGCAGGAGGGTCCTGTGGAGCGTTAGTACCACCACCACCAGCAGCAGCAGCAGGAGGAACACCGACCTGCGGAGCGTTAGTAGTGACCAGGAAGGCGTTGGTTCGCCCCGGGTGATCGAAGTCGTGCATGGCGGCCGCGGTGTAGAGCGCCATCAGCTCCAGCGCCGGCAGGTTGGCGCCAAGGATGCCGTAAGTGTCTTCAGCAGTGAAGCTCTGACGGTGGACCAGCCGTGGCGAGCTCATCGCCTCGTCTGCAGGAGCACCAGCAGGAAGGTCAAGTAGGGTCAGTGCCTTGGATTAACATTTATTCAACAAAATATAATATATTTCAAATAGCAGTCATTTATAATGCGATGAGTGAAAACAGTCAAATCGTAAAATATCAGCAAATGTCACATTAATAATAATATGAAAATGATAAAGTTATAACAAGTAAAAATGATGCCAGTAAGGGAATTATCAGGAGGGAGAGAGCTTATCCTATACCACTGGATAGCACTTTGTAAGGATACGAGGACAAGGATCAGGGGTAGGATGGATAGAAGGAGCGTTGCCTAACCACTTAGGCAACGTTACCACTTAAACCAGATTGTAGGGGATCGAACAGTGACCTGCAAGAATAACGGCGAGGACGCCGTTGTACTGATTATTACTGCGTTGGAACGGATTTTGATACAATAATGAGCAAACGAGCAGGAGGAAATGTTCAAATAAAGGAACACTCTTTTGGAATGTGTTAGTGTCCCTAAAGAGGACTCGAAGTCGCCTTTAGGAAGTCTTTAAAGAGGACTCGAAGTCGCCTTTAGGAAGTCTTTAAAGAGGACTCGAAGTCGCCTTTAGGAAGTCTTTAAAGAGGACTCGAAGTCGCCTTTAGGAAGTCTTTAAAGAGGACTCGAAGTCGCCTTTAGGAAGTCTTTAAAGAGGACTCGAAGTCGCCTTTAGGAAGTCTTTAAAGAGGACTCGAAGTCGCCTTTAGGAAGTCTTTAAAGAGGACTCATAGTCGCCTTGTTGGAATCCCTAAAGAGGATTCGAAGTCACCTTCTGGTAGTCTCTAAAGACGACTCGATGTCTGCTTCTGAGGGCTGGCTGCTGACGTCTCTTTATACAGTATCTCTGACGGATACTTCAGCTCCGTCAAGGAAAAAGGGAATTGTCAGTAATACCATTAATGGTGAACAGTAAAGTCGTGTCTAAGTTTCTACAGTGAAAAGAGGGGGGACCTACTGCATGGGTGACAGCTTCTCCCCCGCATATCAACCTACCCTGGCTTTGCGCCCTGGAGAGGCCATTCCAGACCGACAACCAGAGCACAACTCTACGATCTCCTGAGACTGATGGATGCCTACCACGACCATCTATCTATTGGCCTCGACGGGGACAGGAAGCCGGAGGTCTTGGATAGGGGAGGGAGGGGAGTGCGGAGTGGATACTTACCGTGCCTGTTGGAGGTGTCAGTGTCCGGGGGCAGCATGATGAAGCCGGGTATGGGCTGGGAAGTGAGGTAGTAGACGGCGTGCAGTACGTCTGACGCGTGGGTCGCGTTGTGGTCTGTGGGCACTAAAGTCTTAGCTCACACGGAGGGATGGGTGGGTGGGGGTCTTAGTTCACACGGGGGGATGGGTGGGTGGGGGTCTTAGCTCACACGGGGGGATGGGTGGGTGGGGGTCTTAGTTCACACGGGGGAATGGGAGGTGGGGGAGGTCTTAGCTTACTTCATGCCTGTGTTCACCTAGTAGTAAATAGATACCCTGAAATTAAGCAACCTGTCAGTTGCGTCCTGGATCTAGAACGCAACTCACAAGTTGCATCCCATCGCTGCCACCATTGCAACGTATCAGGAATAACGTAGAAAGAAACTGAATAATAAGTAAATGTGTGAGGGAGATAGAGAGGTGGGAGGAGTAAGGAGGTAGAGAGGTGTAGGAGGTAGAGAGGAATGAGAGAGGAGTGGTCAATGAAAAGTTTGAAAAGAGACAGAGAGACTGAGATCAAGGAGGAGATGTGAGAAGTAGAAAGTAGAAAAGGTAGAAGGGTAGCTTTCACCATTCCATTCTAAACTCAGTACATCCAAGGCAAGAAACGTAACTTGTCTGTACTTTAAGCTGTTATCAAATGCTAGCATGTAACTGTATATTATAATCTTAAACCCAGTAAGATCAGAGTTCTCCACACTCTAGCTTGCAATATATCAGAAAAATCCAAGATCTAGGGAACACAATTAAAGTCAGATTAAAAAGTAAGTTAATTAAGTATATATTTAACATGATAAGTATCATAATTCAGGCAATTTAACTTAATGTTCACTATGTCAAGATTAATATACAATGTGAGTCACCACACAAGACATTGAGACCACTACGGATCTCTGCCCCTGAAATCACACAACACCTTCAGTTGGAAACACCAAATTTATCAACTTAACGTTCAACTCACTAAGCCTCTGAGCCTAAGTTGGATAAGGGGGAGGGGGGGGGGGGCTACAGTTGACAGGCAGTCCCCATTCTGGCCTGGAGAGGCCAGTTTGGCAGCTGGGGCCTCGAGAACTCGCTCCTTCAATCCTCTGTGTCTGCTCTCTGCTCTCTCTCTCGAATGTACAGTTCCATGGATATTTATGGGGAGCCTTGGAGCTAGCTCCGCCTACTAAGTAGATAGCCTCAGGCCATCTACCTACTACCCCTTAAACGGCGGCTTGTTTGAAATACATACCCGGCTACCTGTCTGCAATTATCAGCTTAGCAGAAGCAAGGTCAATTTACACGACCTGACCCCTGGTTGATACCTGGTTGATGGGGTTCTGGGAGTCCTTCTACTCCCCAAGAGCGGCCCGCAGGCCCACATACCCACCACAGCGCGGTTGGTCCGGCACTCCTTGAAGGAAACAATCTAGTTTCCTCTTGAAGATGTCCACGGTAGCTCCTGTAATATTTCTGATGCTCGCTGGTAGGACGTTGAACAACCGTGGCCCTCTGATGTTCATACAGTCAACTGTATCCCCTGGTCAACTTGTAGTTATTAAGACTCTAGAGGTGCGAGTTTTTAATTGCTAAGTGTCAGACAATCCGGCGCCTCAAATATAATGTATGACTGTCTCTTGTTCTATGTGAAATATTAACTAAACACCTTTATGGTGTTCCAACAAGGTATGAAGAAGGGAGAGGGGGAGTATACTCACAAGGTATGTCTCTGTACCCCAGCTCGAGAGCGTGGAAGTAATTGAGGAACTGCTTGGTGGGGATCCTGAAGGTCTCGAACAGCCCCACCTCCGTAAACACCCGATAACACAGCTGTTGGGGAGAACATGTGGATAACACGGCATTATTTACTATTTGTGCCTATAAGATTTAGCTGTTAGCTCTTGGGCCCCGCCTTGCTAACAGTCGGCTGTCTAATGTACCGACTCTCGACCTATTTTTATTTCTATAATATCTGCTACAACTCTCTCTCTCTCTCTCTCTCTCTCTCTCTCTCTCTCTCTCTCTCTCTCTCTCTCTCTCTCTCTCTCTCTCTCTCTCTCTCTCTCTCTCTCTCTCTCTCTCTCTCTCTCTCTCTCTCTCTCTCTCTCTCTCTCTCTCTCTCTCTCTTTCTCTCAGACATCCCCAGAATGAAGCCCGTAGCAGCTGTCTAATTCACAGGTACCTTTTTACTGCTAGGTGAACAGAGTCATCAGGTAAACAAAAACTCTCCCTATTTGTTTCTGCCTCTGCCTGAAATCAAACCCGGGTCCTTAGGACTACGACCCCTGAATCACACGGGGGATTCACATCACATTCACACTTCAGATGATCTATCCTCTACGGTCTAGTGTCTTGGCATATATCATATATGTACTTATTAATCAGCCAAGTAGTGACTAGAAGCAATAAGTCATATATGTACTGTCATGTGCGAGAGCGGTTGGGCACTACCACTCACTTGGCTGAGGATGAGCTGGCCGGCCGCGTCGAGGAGGGAGAAAACGGGATAGTCCCACTCGGAGATGCGGTTGAGGAGGGGGTGCTCCTGTAAATAGTCGAGGTTGTAGATGGCTCCGTCTTGCTCGAGTGCCAGCGATCCTCTGGAGCCCTCAGCCACCTGTTACAAAGGAGAGTTATACCACCCCGAAATTATCATAATAATTCCCGTTGGCGGGGACAGGAAGCCTGTACACATAGATGTCCCACCCCTCCCCCACCTCCTCCCTCTCCTCTTGATTCCATCTTAGGGCATTAATATTCATAGATTCCTAACGTTGTTGTGATTTCATTGTGCATCACCTGGATGAATCAACAGGCAATGGAAACCTGACATATGATGGAGAGGCGTGTATTGACCGGGTTGTGGCTGTATGAATGGTCATCACTAAACATGGTGTCTGTATGAATGATCATCAATATACACTGTATCCATATGAATGTTCTTCAATATACAGAGTGTCCGTATGAATCCTTTTTCGAAACACAGCAATATTTACACACAAATGTAACTTGAGAGAGATAAGATGACAGTCTGAAAGAAGCGCTAAGCCAGTTCGATTATAAACACTACTTGGAAGGCATAAGATGGACACGGAGCTGGGATATGATGGGAAGGGATGGTACCCAACCCGTTGGATCACTTGAGGATCGAACGCCGACTTGCAAGAAGCGAGGCCGCCCCTTTACCGACCAGTCCAAGTGGTTTTCAGCCACAATTAAATGGCTGGAAACATATAACTCAACCCACACATTAGAATGAAAGGGTTTCGGTTCGTTCTGGACCTCCTTATCAAGTCCTGGACTTGATAAAAACTTGATATCAAGTCTAGGACACTTATCAAGTCCTGCACCGAGATCCTGAACTTATCAAGTCATTATGAAGTTGGGTTATTTGTTTCAGCCACGTTATTGTGACTGTTAAATTCTCTTCAGAGTGTTTCAGGTTGATTTTCTTTAACCTAGAATTGCCACGTCGAAGACGGCCACGTTTATCATCTGATTTAGCTTCCTTCTTCACCGGTCCAACCTGGAGACCTTCTTAGTTTGGGGTTCTACTTATTTGCATCTTTGTCAGGAGGCCCGTTAGTTCAGCTCTGTTCCTCACTCTCCAGTCATCTTTGTTGGCTCTTTTTGGTTCCCCTCAGTCCTATTGTGTGTGTGTGTGTGTGTGTGTGTGTGTGTGTGTGTGTGTGTGTGCTCAACACCATCCATCTGCACACAATGAGGTCATTGTGATAGGGGGTTTCGGGATATGTAACATAAAGTTCGATATATTCTTACCTCGTTCAATGGGACTTGGGTCGTTGGGCTCATTTGTTCTTCGGTCTCCACCTTCTCTTCTTCCTCCTCCTGCTCCTCGACCACAGCATCGGCCACCTCGGCCGCGGCCGCGAGTCTCACTCGGCCAACACCCAGAGCTTCCTCGCTCGTCTCTATCGAGCTGGGCGAATCGGAGCTCTCATAGTCCGAGGTGGCCACTCGTAGTCCGAGTCTTTGTTGCACTACACTGGCATTGGCTGGATGTGAATCGTCATTTCTGATTTCTGTTTGTTTAGAGGACAACGCGTGAGTTTCAGTAGCGTTGACACGCGCACTCTCACTACACTGGCATTCACAGAGTTCAGAGTCCAAATGGTCTTCTTTCTGGTGACAAGGCCCGTCAGAGGTGTCATTCTGCGTCCGGGTGCAGTCGTCAGACAGTACCTCACACACGTGCTGGTTGGGCAGCTTCTGGAGGCGGGTTAAGCGGTCTGAGTACGCCCCTGGCTTATGGTGGGTGTCGTGGAGGCCCCGAGCTACTCGGTCCAAATGGTTGACGTCGTAGTCCCCCAACGGGTGCAGGGAGCACACAGTCTGCCGCTCGCGGACTGCCGACCTCTTCGCTCCGTCCTGGTAGAGGGCGGTGGTGGAGTAGGAGCGGTTCTTGGAGCCAGTGCAGTTGGGATCCAGTCGGGACTCGAGGCAACAGGCGTGCGTCGGACTGCCGCATGGCGTCACATCTGCTGAAGAAAAGAGGAAGGTCAGTAGCTGTTGTCAAGGAAGGCTGACAGTGACCTCACACCTGGAGTATGTCAGTCGTTCAGGAGCAAATTGTCAGTAACTTGATGTGGGGAAATGTGAGACACTTTGACTTCAGAACCTAACCCTTACCCGAGAATGTTTGTGGAAGATCTGCTGGGTCGCCCACATGGGTCGCCCACATGGGTCGACCACATGGATCGACCACATGGATCGACCACATGCTGGAGAGAAGCTGGGGTCACACAAGATATCACAGCTGATATCTTGCTGTGATATCACTGTGTATCCTGCTACTATACTTTAATACGTGACTTCGCTGCGTGTGTGTGTATTATTTGTGCCTGCAGGATCGAGCTGCTTAGCTCTTGGACCCCGCCTTTCTGACCGTTGCTTGTCTGTCCTCTGTCCGTTCCTCTATCATATCTACTACATATATTTCTCTAACACACCCACACATCCCAGGATGCATCCCGTAGTATCTACCTAACTCCCAGATACTTTTATTATTGCTAGGTGAACAGGTGCACCAGGTGAGAGAAACTGCCGATTTGTTTCTACCTGGAATCGAACCCGGCCCCATAGGACCACGGCTCCCGAGCGCTGTTCACCCGCCGCAATTATATAGGCCTATACCCTACAGCGAAATGTACTTAAAAGTTGTATTCGCTGTAAAAATATGCGCATTTCTAAAACAAATGAAGAGGGCTTCAATCCGGCACCAGTTTTATGGTTCGCCCAGGATTAACCAATGAGCGTGAAGATGCTTCCGTTAGTGACCAATGAGCGTGAAGAGGCTTCCGTTAGTGACCAATGAGCGTGAAGAGGCTTCCGTTAGTGACCAATGAGCGTGAAGATGCCTCCCCCGGTGACCAATGAGCGTGAAGATGCTTCCGTTAGTGACCAATGAGCGTGAAGATGCCTCCCCCGGTGACCAATGAGCTTGAAGATGCTTCCCCCGGTGACCAATGAGCGTGAAGATGCCTCTCCCGGTGACCAATCAGCGCTAGGGAAGCGCGGCAACACCTCAGTTGTACAGTGTTGCCTACTTGCTCTTGAAATTGCCTCATTATAAAAGTTAAGAGCGAGGCTTGATAATGAATATTGGCGTTGAATATTAATTACGACCTCGTACGCAGTAAGATCATCATGCAGGTTAGGTTAGGTTAGGTTAGGTTAGGTTAGGTTAGGTTAGGTTGGGTCTCGTCAGCGGCGCTTCATATATTGTGTCTTTGAGTTTCACAGCTGATTATAGAATACAGTGAACCTGGTTGTTGTTGTTGTAGCAAGTGTGTGGTTGTTGTTAGTGATGATGTAGGTGTTGTTCTTGTGGAACTTGCTTGTGAAGTTGTCGAAACTTGCCTCGACAGGTTCAGCTTCAGAAGTTGTTTTTTGTTGGAAATTAAATTTTATTGAGGTTTTTGGCAGTTTTTTCGTATATGTGTGTGTGTTTACTATTTGTGTTTACTGTTTGTGTCTGCAGAATCGAGCTATTAGCTCTTGGTCAAATTAGACAGATTGCCTTTCTAAGCAATCTAGTTCCTTAGTTGTTTCCTCTATTATGTCCAAACTACATATTTCTTTCTAACACACACACACACACACACACACACACACACACACACACACACACACACACACACACACACACACACACACACACACACACACACACTAACTCTTCTGTCTTCCAGCGAAGTGAGGTTTAA